ACTTAAATATTCATCTTCTAGCCTTGGAGAATGGTGAAACACAACATAAGAAACAAACTGTAAAATCGGATGGAAAGGGTTTGACTTATCAGGTAGATACTTACCACAAAATCACTAAATATCATTTAGTGAGTAAACTATGATATCCAACGACCCAAAATAAAAAAGGAAAAGTTGTTAGCGATATGATGGCATGGTTTGTTCCCATTTTATTAAGATGTGATTCATTTTTGTTATGATTTGAGAAAGTAATATTGTCTTACACACTCTTTTTTTCAGTAATCATAACCTTGACTTTTAAGTTATAGCAAGTGACTTTTTCATATTCAATCACATATCGAATGAAGGTCGCAGTCACATATCTTGTATTTGATATTGCATCCTGAAACCACTGTTCTACTAGAAGTAATTTCGTCCTTGACCTATGAGACATTGACACCAAAATAAAATAGGTGTCTTCTAATTATATTTGACAATATATATAAGTAATGGTGCAATTTTATACATAGTATTTGATTAAACACTCGTCCATCACTTTACTGCAAAACTTTCAGTCATTTGCATTAAATATGACCTACAATCCGATATAAGACCCATTAAATCTCGAATAAATTTGTACACTGAACAAGGCTTAACTTAGAGCCTTTATCGCTCATCTGTCAAAAATATAGCTTGCATTGATTTTTTTTTGCTGTTTACAGTTTCTACTTATGTATATTATACTTCTCGAAATAATAGGCAAAACCTCGAAAATTAATCAAATAGCGTTATTTGAAGGCATAATTTTTATTAGCAGTCATCCAACATTTTTTATCATGATAACATATTTGTGGATCTTGTATTGTTGATCTTTTTTGCTGTTTACTGTTTCTACCTTTTTATCAAGGTAAACGAGAAAATAGCCAAATCCAACAAAATTGTCAAAATATCGTCATTTAAGCTCAACAAATCGAGTGTTTTCGGTCATTTGACATTTTTGTAGATTTCGTTTTGCTGATATTTTTTATCTATAATTTCTACATAAATATAACTGTTTTCTAAATTATAGGCCAAAAACTCGAAAATGCGTCAAAATTCGTCATTTAAGGACAATAACTGAGAGGTAGGTAGATCTTCGCATTCTGAACATTTTTGCTCCGGTCACATTTTACAATTAGTACATTTACCCCTTATGTTGTAGTGTAACCATGCAGTTAATTAGTATAAACAAAAAACTAAAAAGTATAACCAAAGTACCAAACTCTGAGGCAAACTCAAAAAAGGGAAGTACATAAAAACTGACAAAATCAAACGCAAGCTAAGAACTAAACAAGTAATGTTTTATTCAGCTTAATCTTGTTTCAGTTTGAATTCGTGTTTTTTTTTATTTAGTACATATTCTTTGAACAGCATATTACATCCAAGTAAAAACACAAATATGCATTTCCAAAAAATACAAACAATTTTAGTCTGAGAAAATATGGTTATTTATCAGCAAAGTAATTCTATTAAGTTTTACTTTATAACCATGGGATTAGAGTTGTGTAAATATGGGAATATTCATCTATGAAATTTAAGTCTTTATTCGTTTTATATCCTGTAAGGTATGATACACACAAACATGGTGTACTTTTCTCCAGTCTGAACTATAAAATACCTTTTCAGAGTTTTAAAACGTACCTTTATGAAAAAAAGAATAGGATGTAATTATCTGTGTACCTTTTTTACTAACTTGAGCATAAACGTCAGTACTTTTTGGATCTTTAAGAGGTTTACTTCTTGTTTTATCATCCGGAGATCTTCGCCTAAAAGACAAGAAACAAAAAAGACACTTAGAACTTCAGCTTAATTAGTTAGTTTCACTACAAAATATAATTTCAACTGGTACAACTAAGGTTCTTTTTGTATTAACGAGATAACACAATGATTTACGTTATAGAGAAAGTCCAAATACTGTCCCTTCCGGGAAAATAATGGATACCAAACAAAAATATCAATTAAGTCTGAAATCGTACAGGATAGAGGGAGTCAATTAACCATCACCAAAAAAGCGTATGAAGATATTACTTATTGAATATTTTTTTGTTGTTGACCGGTATTTATAATTTATAACATTATCATTTTTCCCTGTTTTTGAGATATACAGGGAGAATTCAAGTTAAAAAAAATTGTCAATCTTAAATATGTATTTGTCTGTCTAAGTCAGGAATTTCATCAGTATACATCGGTCTGTGAGACTGTATATATTATGTCTATTTCAAGTAATATGTTAATGTCAATTTTCAGCTTTTACAATAGAATTTATACCAAACCCCGAAACATTCTGCATTTGCCTATCCCAAGTAAGCAGCATGTAATTCATTGGTTACCGTTTGTTGTTGTTTATCATATATCATTTTTTTTCGTTCCTTGTTCGGTTCATAAATCAGGCCGTCAATTTTCTCGTTTGAATTGTTATATATTTTGTTATGTCGGGGCCTACTATATCATGCGAGGCGGTATGGATTTTGTTTATTGTTGAAGGCCGTACGTTGACCTATATTTGCTAACATCGATGTGAGTTGGTCTCTGGTTGATAGTTGTCTCATTGGCAATTATACTACATCTCCTAATGTATTTTTGTCTACACTTTGGCAGATTTCCATAAGATCTGATTGCTTTCAATCGTTGAAGAGCGTATGATGACCTGCAAATGTTCTTTTGGTGTGGTTGTTTGATAGATGTTTTACATTGACGTGTATCTGATTCATCATTTCATTCATAAAACAACTGCCAGACAATATGTAAACACATAAAAAAATGTATATAAACAATGTTTTGAGACAGTTCCTGTTAAATTTATGGCCTCGTCGTGCCACTCATCGGTATATTATCTAGTCATACATAACGAAATATTGATTGACAGTCAACCAAGCTAAGTTATGGATCGTATATTTTTTAAAAAGAGAGACGAAAGATACCAAAGGAATATTCAGACTCAAAATCAAACTGACAATTCCATGACAAAAATAAACTGAAAAACGATCAAAAGACAAATAACAGTATACAAAACACAACATAGAACAATAATGACTGGGGTGGTCATGTGCTCTGGAAGTGTAAGCAGATCCAACTCCACATGTGGCACCCGTCGAGTAGCTATTTTAAGTACAATCCCGGTAATAAGTCTAATTCACATTCGGGGAATGGGTGGGTTGGGATTTACGACGATTTGAACATATCCGTCGTCATATATGAAACGGATATTCCGTAACGGTCAATCAACTCGTGTTGGCGTCCGTAAAATTTTCGAAGGGATGATTTAAACTTCACCACATGTGGCACCCGTCGTGTTGCTTATGTTATTACAAATCCGCTAAATAGTCTAATTCGGTAAGTCACATTCGTGAAAAGGGAAGGGTATTGTAGTTACGACATAAGGAACATATCCGATATCATCTGTGAAACGGTAATTTCATAACGGTCAACCAACTCGTGATGGCGTCCGTAAAATTTACGAAGGGATGATTTCAACTTCATCATTTGGAACTCTTGGTTTAATAGCGTCCTTGTGAGCTGCAATCATCTATCAAGGAAATCATGATAGGAAATGCAAGACCTTGAATATCGTATCAACTGGGAGATATATACGCCTTATGCAGGTGCTGCTGGAATGTTGCTAAAAAGAAATACACTAAAAATGGCAATATCATAATTAACAATTTTATTATTGTCAGCTTATTTATCCATTATATTTTACAGCAATTAAAGACAGAAGACATAAAACTCACATTTTATAGTAGGATCTCTTGTTTCTTACCTTCTAATAAATACTCTCACACAAATAACTACCACAATCAAAGCAAATGTTGCTCCCAATCCTACAGCTACTGCAGTTAATAGGGATTTTTCTTGAGTTTTTAAATCCACTGAAAATAAGTTTTAGAGAACTTAAATCGAATCAACATTAAACTACTAAGGTGAATATAGAATATGTTTCTGAATACCCAGCATAGTATCTGTTAGTATAAAAGGTGACTTTTTTTTCCGAAACGTATTATAATTGAAAATGTAGGCATATGGTAGGTTTATGAAATGCACAAAAAGTTTTAACAGTAATTTTGTATTGAAAGTGAAAACAATCTTTGAAAATAAGCAGCTTAAAATGTATCATACTCTTGATTCATTATAAATTTTTTACCTTTACAAGAAGGAACTGGCGTTCTCCAAATACCAGCCGCACTACATTTCAACCAACTGGAACCGTTTACAATATATCCAGTCATACATTTTATCATTATACTATTTGGATAACGGTATTGGCGGTTTTCTATTTGTTGTACATTTTCAATCTTTGGTAAAACAGGACATAAAAGACCTGTACACTCAAAAACAAAAGAAAACATGTGTAGAGCTACTTTCTGATAAACTGTTTTAAACATTTCAAATGTCAATATGCAGTTTGATTTTTTTTTTGTCAAACAACTAAATGTTAAAAAAAATTCGTCGACAACAACAAGTTCAAATTAAATTCGGTCTACTATCACCGTGGTAGGTTTCGAACATCGATTTGGTCATTGGTCAACATGACAAGGTTTATTTACTACCTTGTTTGACATAAAAAAGAATACCGATGAATAGGAATAAATGTGTTGCCTATCAAAAAGATAATCACATCGTTTATACAAGAAAGCCTTTCCCTTACAGTACATGCTACAACAGCTGATTTTATAATTTCAATACGCAGAGGGAAAAGTTTTAAAATCATTTAGTACAAACAATTCATGGTATTACTCATGTTCCGGTCATTAAAATCGAACAAATATAGACAATCTTGAACATCACCAAGATTTAACAAATAATTTGATGCGAGAGTGATAGATGATTTGTAATACGCGTTCACAGATTTGGCTTTGATTGCGCCTGACGAAGGTCAATCCAGAAAAGATCTTTGGAAGCTTAACATTTTCATTTTATTTTTCAGTAACAAAAATAATGCATGAATAAACACTCATATTAACGTAAAAACAAACCTACCTGTACAAACTGGTGGGGTACTCCAATCTCCGGTTTGATTACAATGCAGTGGGTTGGAACCGTTAATCTGGTATCCTGCTTTGCAAGAGACATTCACAGACGCCGGAAACCGGTATCTTTTTGTTGCCTGTATAGACGTCACTATGCTGTCTATTTTGGGAAAGTCTCTACATAAAACTCCTGAAAAAACACATGTATCATGTAAAACAGTAACATATCAAACATAGATATTAAATATTTAGAGACATAATGTATATCTATAATCATATATTACATTTTTACTTTTTTGCAGTTGTGCATGTTAATTTGGAGCAACCAGAGAAATATTGAGGGATCGCGTGAACTTATTTCATTTTATACTTTTATTGCGTATTAGACATGATGCAGTTGTGATGGATTGTTGAGTATCATTAACGTCAGTTGTTTTGCTTTATCAAGCTGAAGAAAAAAATCAAATCATCACGATGTGTTCATGTGACATTTCTTGGGAAATCTCTTATTTATTATTTTGTGGTTTCTTCTTTTTTTGTAAAATTAATAAAGCAATACGTTCAACAAGGCAAATTATGAGGTGTTTATTTGATAAGGATATTAGTTGTGCGAGTTACGAATAGTACAGCTTGCTATAATATAATGTGCTTACTTGTGGTAAATCGTAATAGAATCAGTTTTTCACTAGCAAATTATGTAAAATTGGATATTGGAAGGGTTTTTCAATTGATCACTTTTATACATGCACAATTTAGAAGAATAATGGTAGGCACAATAGGTAATGATAAAAGATACAGTGTAATAAGTTTAATAACGTCTATCAATAATAATGCAAATCGAAAAGGGCAACATCAACACGAAGAAAGAGTGTATGATTGTGACTTATCTTTTAGTGTATAGTCCTTTAATTTTTTTCCCCATCAAATGTGTTATAAACTTTATTCATGTCGTTTACCGATGTATCCCCCCCGATTCTACTGTTGACAACAGATCAAATTTACAACTGTGTTGTTTATTTAAAAATGACAGGGTCATAGATCAAACTTATACGTTCAGTGTATGTTTACTTGTTTTTATTTAAATGTCTTTTTGATCGAGTAAAGCCATTTCAATTGATATTTTATAGTGTGTCTTTTTTATGTTGTAATGTTACACTACTGTCTCAGGTTAGGGTTAGGATGAAGGTTGTCAGCTGTTAAAACGTTTAAACCAGCTGCATTTTTATGCACCTGTCATAAGTCAGGAGCCTGTTGTTCAGTGGTTGTCGTTTATTGGTGTGGTTCATAAGTGTTTCTTGTTTCTCGTTTTTTATATAGATTAGACTGTTGGTTTTCGTGTTTTACACTAGTCATTTATAGGCCCTTCATAGCTTGTTGTTCGGTGTGAGCCAAGGCTCTGTGTTGAAGGCCATACTTTGACCTATAACTTTTTATACATTGTGACTAGGATGGAGAGTTGTCTCATTGGTACTCACGACACATCTTCTTATTTATATGAATGAAATAATTAACACAATTATCAAATCATCGAAAATACTCTAATTCATAATATATCGATAACCTCCATAAAGATTGTGTTATCGATAAGAAAAGTACGGCATAACCAAACTGTTTCATATGGCAGAGATCATTACTTATATTGCCAATATTACCTTTGCATTGTGGTATAAATCCCCAAAATCCACTTGAATTACACTGGAGTAGATCAGAACCATCAAACACATAACCTGTTTCACAAGTGACTTTCAATGTTTCAGGATATCTATATCCTTGTATCTTGGTTGGTAGTAAGGCATTGCCAACCTTAGGCAAAGGAGGGCATAGAACACCTAATGAAAAATGAAATATTTGTTTTTTGACAACATGAAAACAAATCTGAAGTACATTAACGTTTACATCAATTGTATTTTGGGTGCTGCCTCGTTGATATATTACACAAATCTCTGTGTACTCAATAAACACGATAGTCAATGCAGTCAATTGCTCTTGATACTATTAACGCTATTCTTTTGTAATAAGACTAAATGTAGGTGTCTTAAATTTCCTAATAAATAGATATTGTAATTGTCGATATCTTTTAATCATTAGCATCAATTTATACAAAATGAACCGTGTATTTAAACATTGTTATCATATGTTCAAAGAACACAATAATGGTTCAGCAAACCTGTTTTTCGATTTAGAACAGATGAAGATGATAAGGCTTATAATGCAGTATTTCATTTATACTGAACTATAGATAAGACTGCTTCAAATAGAATTGGCATTTCAAATTGCCGAAGATTTTCAGAAAACCTGCAATAGAGATCATTTCCTACACATGTTCTTTCATGTGGAATCTGGTTTATTTAATAAAAAGATGAATGTCAACTAAAAGCATATAGTATGCGTAGAGTGAAAATGTTATATTGCAACATTCTCTTCATTATTTTGCTTTTTCTCGCAAACAGACATAAAAAAAACAACTGGAAATGTATTGGAGTCTATCTAATTTACATTGTTTTGGAGTTTTTTTTATAATTTTAACTTTTTTTCTTTCCTTATAGCCGAGATGGTATCGTTGTCAAATTTTTCATACGAAATACAAATGTATTATTAGGTTAATATTTTGTACCCATACTTTAAACTCCCCACTACTGCAACAGTTTAAAATCGTATCTATAAGATAAATGGTACTGAGATGATTTTTCATACTTGTCTGTCCCGTCTTTCTCACGTAGAAACCTTTGTGTTGCACGTACACGATCACAGTTTCGATCTTAGATGAAGTAGGCTTTGTATATGAATAAAAGATGCAAAGTATCAGACAGTAGTACGAAGACATAAAAACCCAAACGACATTAAAAGACTCACGTTCTTTTACAACAGACAAGTGCAATATATACCATTTCTTTGTATTAAAAAGAAATTCTAGATAAATATAAAAATTATTCCTGAAAATAATTTTAATCGGGAAACAGTTTATTAAATGATATTCATTTAAATTGCATCCAGTGTACTTTTTATTTGTTTATTTATTGCATCATATATACCTGTACAATTTGGTTGTTTTTTACTCCATGTTCCATCACTTTGACAGGTTATGGTATCGGCTGATGACAACTCATATCCATTATCACATTTAAACGTCACATTGTCTTTGTATGAGTATATTGTTTGAACTGGGTCCAACTTTTGTTTGTGCAATGTTCTCAATTCAAAACAGGTTACGACTGTCAGTTGAAACATATTAAACATGTATGAATATAAACAACAAATTTGTTTTTTTCTGTAACAATGAAAGAATGCATATACCAATGGTTCAGATTTTAAATGTTAGTGTTATTCCGAATGTTTTAACACAACGATAAACTAAACAGAATAAGCAATTATGATGTGTATTATATAAACTCATGTTATCTGTTATGAAACAGATCATTCTCACATATTGCTACGTCTTACTGGAGTAAATCTTCCTGATTTCTATTAAAAAGGTAACCGTTATAATTCTATTCATGCTTATCCTTCTTCTATTTATCAATATGTTATTCATTCCTCTAACCGACATGTTGACTTCGTCTTCATTGCACTCTAACTTCTATTTTTCCTTCGTATTCCAAATTTATTCCTGAACTGTTTATGACTAAACTTCATACCGAAACAACAAAACACCACTTGATAGATATGTTTTACAATACCTAATGATATATGACGATATACTTTACAAACAATACATATTTTTTTCTCAAATATAAACTTATCCACATCAACTCACTATAACTTAATTCAAATCTTGATACTACTTCGTGGCAAATAATGAAAAACATGGCGACTTTTCATTTTAGTAATCGTTAATTTTTATTTTCGTTGATGTTGATGTTGATGTTCTATTGCCTCCTTCGTCATGAGTGCACATTTAAATGTTTTACGTGTTTTCAGATTTTATTGAACGTAATATTTTCATTACAACACATCTTCTATAGAAGGATACAAATATCATAAAATTGAGTAAAATTTTATGATATTTGTATCATTCTATAGAAGATGTGTTGTAATGAAAATATTACGTTCAATGAAATCTGAAAACAAGCAAAACATTTAAATGTTCACTCATGACGAATGAGGCAATACTTTACTCAATTTTATGACAAATATATATATATATATATAGGTTTAATCTAAAATTATTTTTAATAATGAATAGGGTATTTATAATTTTGTTCATGAAGCTTTCTAAATTTTGACATTACGAACTGCTTTGCACATGTCAGATACCAACGTAAATGAAATTGTCATAATGAATTAAGATTACCGTGAATATATAAGATGGATAGAAGTATAAATGTAATAAAAACAAAATACGCTTTAAAAATGAGATTATACAAAGGATGTAATCAAAAACAATAAGTCGAAAATGATAAAAAAAAAAAACACCATTGCCAAATCACGTACAGTAAAAATACCGTTCACAAAATTCTACATAGAAAACTAAACATTGAGTGAAACGAACCCAATAAAAAAACCGGAGTGCACTAATAATTCGGAAATAACACATTTCATACATTTTGCAATACGTTTCATTTCTGAAGTTAGTTCTTTTCTTGTGGTTGATACACAATTTTTAAATATAAATTTGATTTAAGATACCATTTCTTTTGTAATTGATAAAGTAGTTTTTACGAACCTTGACAATTAGGTAATTTGCCGTTCCAATGCCCTGATTTTTGACATGTCAGAGACTTTGATCCTATCAATCTGTATCCAGTTTCACATGTCAGCTTCACTATCTCTCCATATCGATATATAGTCTTACCATCTAGTGGTTTTAATTTGGGAATAACAGAAAGGTCGGGACATTTTTCACCTAAAGCGATTAAGAACAAACTATCTGGGTTTACACAAAACATGTCTCAATTAATATCAATAGTATCATATTTGGACATTGGTTTGAAAGATCAACAACTACTCTGAGCTTATAATTATCTCCGTAATATACCCAGATATGAGATATACAAATAGTTAAAAAAAAAACATACCACAACAAGTTGATTTATTGGTCCTGCTTTCATACGGGCGATGAGTTATGGATTTCCGTAGTCACAAATTTTTTTTATTTAATGAAAAAAAATATGGTTTATGTCACAGTGAAATTGACACAGAGTTTACACAAGTTACGAAAACTGATTCGGTATCATACTCTCTCGAAGTGTAGACCAAAGGAAAAATTATAACGGATAAATCACCTTCAAGTATTGCAGATATGCAAATTATACTAGAATTATTTCTTATTAGTTTCGACTCAGAATATTTTATTATCGAATCGACTACTACAAGTTTGATATTGAAATCTTATAAAACTTCATATTTTTCATCTCGATATCAGCTTCAATATAATGCACCTATTTATCGTTTACCTTAAACACTAATTAAGTAGTTTGTATAACGTTGAAATTCGTTATTTTATAAGACATATCAAACAAATGCTGCAAAAATTAAACATCGGACTAGGTTCATCAATTTCCCCTTCTAATTATTTTTTTTTGGCAATTAATACTATAATGCATTGTATTTTTTTTTAAATTGTCGCAAATGCAATGCCGACTTACTGTCATATTTTAAATAAGGGTATTATAAACGGTGCAATCCTGGTTTGCAAACTTTTAATTGTAGCTTTATAAAAACATTTTTTCCTTTTTTTTTAACAATTATGTTGATTTCTAAATTAATTTTCTTGCCTGTATATAACCAATAAAATTTTATAAATAATACTTACTTCTACTATTAAATTGAGGGAAATGTGCAAAAATATGTATAACAAAAATTAGAAAAGATGTGAAATTTTGTGGAAATTTCTTATAAATTTTCAAGGAAAATGCATTGAATTTCATAAATATTTGAACAAACTATACAGAATTGTTTATAGTTTTATCAAATATAAAATTCTGAAAAAAATTAGAAGTAAAATAATGAAAATAAAATGAGTCCCATTAATAATTTCTTATATTTTTTTCACCTCATCTATCTATTATTTTTTTTCTGTAATTAACCTTTTTGAAATTTTAATATAGAATAAAACAATGAATTCTAACAAATAAATGCAACTGTATAGTGACCGAGTTTTATAATTGACATTATGAGAACAATATTCTCCATCCAAGCTACTTTTTTTTTCTTGCTTCGATCTGGAAGACATTTGTGAACTTGCCAACGTAACAGTTCCAACAATTGTTACTAACTAAGTAACAGAGTTTGAGTTGAATGATACTGCTTTTCATGGAACCACTACTTGACCGAAGGACCCAGCACCATCAACCACCTTGAAGGATTGCACAAGCATATAAAAAATGGGGATCAAAATGCCCACCCTAACATCTACGAGATCATCGAACTACTCATGAAGACCCAAGCAGTAACATAAAGTACATTTGTCCAGTATGCAACATGAAGAGCTCGTTTTTTTGTAATATAGCTCTTCAACTGTTTAGGTTCTTATACATCCTTGGCTTTTGAATATTCGGCTTTATGCGTTCCTGATGAAGCTTAATTCAGAAAAGCGCTTCGGACACATGAAAGTTAAAACGTATTGTTTTCATTTTTTACAGCACTGGGTCGATACCTCTGCCGGTGGACTATCAGTCCCCGAGGATATCATCAGCTCAGTAGTCAGTACTTCGGTACTGACATGATTTATAACTATAAAAAGATGATTTGGTATGATTGCCAATGATACAACTCTCCACAATAGACCAAATGACATAGAAATTAACAACTATAGGTCACCGTACGGCCTTCAACAATGAGCAAAGCCCATACCGCATAGTCAGTTATAAAAGGCCCCGAAATGACAAATGTAAAACAATTCAAACTAACGACCTAATTTATGTACAAAATAATGAACGAAGAACAAATATGAAACACAGCGACAACCACTAAATTACAGTTTCGTGACTTGGGACAGGCACATACAGAATGTGGCGGGGTTAAACTAGTTTGAAGGCGCCAACCCTCCCCCTAACCTGGGACAGTGGTGTAACAGTACAACATAAGAACAAACTATAAAAATCAGTTGAAAAAGGCTTTACTCATCAGATGGATACAAATAGAAATACATCCAACAAAAACGCAAAGTGGACGTGGACGGGTACTTGTACATCCCAACAACAAAAAGACACTTAACACAGATTTGAAAGTACTCGCAGTTACAAACCTTTCTAAAATTGTCCGTTGAAAAAAATTGAAATTATTAGAAACTAAGGTTTCAATTCCCTCAGGCAAAGTTGACCTTAGATGGATTTGGCTATTTTTTTATATCTTTTTTGGTTACATAAATGAAATGAAAATAAGTAGAAATTAGACGATTTTTTTTTCTAAACAAATAATTTAATCACTAAGGAAAAAAGAAAAAGAGGTCTATGCCCCAAACGCTTGTGGTTTTACTTACGGACGAAAAATTTGACATGAAAAGGGCACTTTAAATTGACTCTGTCGAAGGCAAGATAACAATAACAATATGTCAAAGATAAAGGAATTCAAAAGGTAAATTTTCCCGTCTTGGGTTAGGAGAACGAGCTGTGTGTTTCTGCGATGGAAAAAAGAATTAATTAAAAAAAATAAAATAGTCTTAACACGCATATTGTCCGGCCCGTTGATAACCAAACGAGTATTATTCTCATAGGTTCAAACAATACGCATAGGTCCAAATAATCATAAGTTCGGAACACATATTCAAAACTTACTTTCACATACTGGTATATTACATCGGTCCCACCGTGGATCAGTAAGACCTGTATAACACCACGGACCTCCCACGTTATCAGAATCTCCATCTGGTGTCCTGCAATAGTTCTGGTCCTCTGATGTGTATTTAGTTGCACTTTTCCAATATATGCAATTATGACCTCTTCTAGTAATATTTATCTGTCCATGGTAAACAAGGTCTTGTATTGAGTTTCTACAATCTATATTACAATAATCAACAATTAACTAGTAATAATTGGCACACATACATAAAATTATTAGCAGTAGTAGTAGTAGTTATTTTATTTTATTTTATAACTTTATTTTACATATAAGCAGATTCCTCTGAAGCTGGAAATTAATATTATTAAATAATATTAATGGTTGTCATTTTTCCTTCCTAAATGTTTTTCAAACCGTTTTAATGTTACACTAGTAATAACTATAGT